TGGTGGGTGCCTGTAATCCCAGCCACTTGGGAGGCTGAGGCAGGAGAATCACTTGAACCTGGGAGTCAGGTTGCAGTGAGCCTAGATGTGCCACTGTGCTCCACCTTGGGGGACAGAGCAAGACTCCGTCTCAAAACACAAACAGAAAAACCAAATCTATTTCATTAATTCTAAAGGCTTTTCTTTTTCTGAGGTGCTAAGAATTCTCTCCCGTGGTTTCTTCTGGCATATTTTGGCTTCATTTTATAGACTTCGCATTTATTCTGGTTTAAGGAATTGAGATATGGATCTAGTCACCCCCCAACGCGACATAGCTACTTAGTCACCCAACACTATTTGCTAATTAGTACATCTTTTCTCTCAGTGCTTTGAGATGCCACCTTTATCTTTACATAAGGAAATTTGAATAGATTTCTGTTGTGATTTAAAAAGTAAATTTCAAATTAATTAACTATTTTTTTGTTACCACAGATAAAAGCTTTTTAAAAAATGATCCTTATTGCTTTTCACATTGAAGAAATTATTGGGTTATCCAGCTGTTTTTGGAATTCAGTGTGTGCTGAATAAATTTGTATTTTTAGTTAAACATTTGTATCTTGAATTAGTTATATTTCTGTACAGTAAGATTTGGAAGTCCAAACTTGAGAATGAATTCTTAAAGTTTACTTTTAAATGAACTATTAATTATAGACATTAATATGTGCCTCACAAATGTCATTTATATAAATATTGAATTTTTATAGTATAGATACTGCTAAAATTCTCAATGGTTTATTCTCTGAAAAAAGATAAGTTTTCCTAATGTGTGAGACTCTTGTCTCAAAAAAGAAAAAATTATAAAGCAGTTTGGAGAATTAAAAGAAAAAAGGGTAAAAATGTCAGAAATGCTTATTGTTAGCATTTTGTATAGTTTTCCATTTTTTCCATGTTTTTGTCCATTCAGATCTAGACTTGCAGCAGATTTTTCTGTCTGTATTTTACAAAATTGGGATCTTACTGCATAACGTTTGTAATTTGCTTTTTATTTGCAAATGAATCCTGAACATTTCTCCATGTCCTCAAGTGATTTTTTTTTTGAGACACGCTCTCATTCTGTCACCCAGGCTAGAATACAGGGGTGCGATCTTGGCTCATTGCAACCTCCACCTCCCAGGTGCAAGTGGTTCTCCTGCCTCAGCCTCCTGAGTAGCTGTGATTACAGGCGCACACCACCATGCCTGGCTAATTTTTGTATTTTTAGTAGAGACGGGGTTTCACCATGTTGGCTAGCGTGGTCTCAAACTCCTGACTTCAGGTGATCTACCTGCTTCGGCCTCCCAAGTACAAGGCAAGACCCACCACGCCCAGCTGCTGCTGCTTTTTTTTAAATGACCTCGCTCTGTCACCCAGACTGGAGTACAATGGCATCATCAGGGCTCACTGCAGCCTCAACCTCTTTGGGCCCAAGTGTTCCTTGTGCCTCAGCCTCCCGAGTAGCTGAGACTACAGATGTGTACCACCCACCTGGCTAATTTTTGTATTCTAAGTAGAGGCAGGATTTCGCCAAGTTGGCCAGGCTGGCCTCAAGTGATCTGCCTGCCTTAGCCTCCTAAAGTGCTTGGATTACTGATGTGAGCCACCGTGCCCCACCATGGTAGCATTTTAAAAAGCAAAATGTGATTTTTGTATGAAGATATTTCTGAATAAAGTCGACTTTCTGACAGTAATTGTCTTTAATTAAACTTTGTAGGCCATGGATCATCTGCAGTCATTCATTGCAGATTGTGATCGTAGAACAGAAGTGGCCAAGAAAAGATTAGCAGAAACTCAAGAAGAGATTAGTGCTGAAGTAGCAGCAAAGGTAAGAATTTTAATCATTTCATTAGTACAAAGTATTGTTTCGACTCCTTTTAACTTTTTATTTTGAAATAATTAGATTTGCAAGAGATTGGAAAGACATATACGAGGAATTCTGTATACTCTCTTGCCTGCCCCAATGTTAACATGTTACACAATGTAGTACAATATCAAATAAATTGACATTGGTCTAATCCTTATATTTTATTCAGATTTTGCCAGTTATGCATGCGTTTATTTGTATATGCATGTCTGTTTGTATAGCTCTGTGCAGTTTTTTTGTTTTTGTTTTTGTTTGAGACAGAGTTTTGCTGTGTTGCCCAGGCTGGAGTGCAGTGGTGTAATCTTGGCTCGCTGCATTCTCCGCCTTCTGGGCTTAAGCAAGTCTCGTGCCTCAGCTTCCTGAGTAAGTGGGATTACAGGCGTTCGTCACCATTCCTAGCTATTTTTTTTTATTTTTAGCAGAGACAGAGTTTCGCCATGTTGGCCAGGCTGATCTCAAACTTCTGGCCTCAAGTGATCTGCCCACCTTGACCTCCCAAAGTGCTGGGGTTATAGGCATGAGCCACTATGCCTGGCCAGCTCTCTGTAGTTTAATCACATGTGTAATTGCAACCACAATTAGGATGCTTAACTATAGCATTGCCACAAGGCTGCCTCATGTTACCCCTTTGATACGTACATCCATCTTCACCCCCATCTCTCACCTTGGCCATCACTAACCTATTCTCTGTCTCTGATATAAATGAAATCCTGTGTACTCTTTTGAGATTCGGCCTTTTTCATTCCGTATAACTTTCTTGAGATTCATTCAAGTTGTTTGTATCAGTTCATTCCTTTTTATTTCTCCATTGTACAGATATACCACAGTATTTTTATTTGCTTTTAAAAGCAAATGTTAAATGTCATATTTCACCTGTAAATTATAACCACAGTAATACATACATAAAGTTAACAGTAATTTTTTAATGTTATCCAGTATATGTTTATTTTTCTTATATAGAGTCGATTTGTTATTAGGATCCAAACAAGGTCTTCGATATTGCATTTTGTTGATGACTTATTACAACATAATTATATTCCAGTATGATCTAGTGTGTTTTATGAAAATGTAGAATGGGAGAAAAAGAGTTACCCAGGTGGAGTTTAGATGACAGTATTAAAATATGGTGTTCAGATATGTATATGCAAATGAAAATAGATTCCATCGTTTGAGAAAAGTGTTGCTTTTAGCCAGCCTTTTCTTAAAAGTTCTCTGAAGATGGGGACTGGAAAGATGGGCATCCTGAAGTACGAAGGATCTAGTATCTCATGGTTGGAAGAGATCTGTAAGTGAGCCTGAGTTGTATTGGTTGTATTGGTTATCCATCACTACAGAAATGCTGTATAACAAACCACCTCAAAGCTCAGTGACTTAAAACAGTAAGTATTTATTTAGCCCATGACTCTGCAGTCGATGATTTAGGCTGAACTTGACTGAGTAGTTATTCTTGTTTCAGCTGGGCTTACTCACATGCCTTGCAGTCCACTGGTGGATGCAGAGCCATGCCCAGCCAGGCTAGCCTGGCCGTGTTCTCATGGTGGTGGCAGAGGTGCAGAAGCATCAAGCCCCATCACACAGGCCTCTCCTTTGGTCATGTTTGCTACCATCTCAATAACCAAAACAAGTTCATGGCCAAATTCAGAGTCAGGGTACGATGGTACACAATTACATGGTCAAGGACATGGATACAGGGAAAAAGAGTTTTGGACAACAGTTCAGTTGTTCAGTAATGTATTTAAAGGAAAATACCATTTGGTAGAGAGGGAGGATAGTAATAATAGAATTAGGACTCTCACTGAGGGAAGAAATATCTTGGGTTGAAGGATATTTGAGAAGTAAAGATTATTAATTAAACCAGTAAACTGGTTTGTTGGGACACAGGAAACTCATACCAAACTAAAACCTTCGGCCGGGTGCAGTGGCTAACACCTGTAATCTCAGCACTTTGTGAGGCCAAGGTGGGTGAACTACTTAAGGTCATGAGTTTGAAACCAGCCTGGCCTACATGGTGAAACCTTTCTCTACAAAAACTGCAAAATTAGCAGGCATGGTGGTGCATGCCTGTAATCTCAGCTATGGGGGAGGCTGAGACAGGAGAATCGGTTGAACTCGGGAGGCAGAGGTTGTAGTGAACTGAAATTGTGCCACTGCACTCCAGCCTGGGGACAGAGCAAGACTCCATCTCAAAAACAACAATAACAACAACAAAAAATTAAAACCTTCTTTGCTAACATATTATAATTGGCCATACAGCAAAGACTTTGTGGCCCAAGATAATGATTATATGTATGTTTTATGTGCCATTAGAACAGTAAGAATGAACTAAGTTGCTAGGATGATAATAGTAATAAGGAAGAGGAATGTATTCTTTCCCAAAGCAAGAGTTAATCTCAGTGGAAAGCTAAGGACTCAAAGTGGAGTTGCCAGGCAAGTATGCTGAAAATCAGTAAGGTGCTATGCAATGTACATACAAGGCGTATTTTCTCATTTCTCACAACTTTGTGGGATAGGTACTGTCTGTACTTCTTAGATGAGGAAATGGATTCAGGTATAAGTAATGTGGCCAAAATTACACAAATAGTAATTGGTTTAGCAATAAGTCAGATCTGTTGGAGTCCTGAGCTTGATCCACCAATTCATTTCTTTAACTCATATTTGAGCCTAGGCTATTTGCTGAGCACTAGAGATACAAATATGGGGAATACAGCTAACTGTCCTTAAAGTAGTATGATATTTATGAAAGGAACTGTCAAAAAAGATACAAAGGTGACACAAAGGAGAGAGTATGGCCATGTTTGCTGATGTGTTTAAGGGGGGGTGGGATGCAATGAATGTTAGGAATGCTTTACAGAAATGACCCTTGAGTTGGATCTTGTTGGAATGAGTGAACATTCAGTAGGCAGACGAAAGGTAAGGGATCCCATCCCAGAAAGAAGAGTATATGCAAAGTCACAGAGGTAGAAAACAACAGGGTAAGTTTGGGAAACTATAGATTATGTTGTGAGGTAGAGGAGTAGTAAGAGATGGTTTAGAAAAGTACAAAGGGCCAGATCATGGAAGAAACGGTATTTTAAACTAGGAATACACCACCTCGCCAGAGGACAGAAAGTTATATTGGGCTCAGTAGTAGCCCTGACTTCATTGAGGTAAGGCAGGCAGGCTCGGAACATCCTGATGTCTCAGTTCATTTGGGATATGCTCCGAAAGCATTCTTTAACCTCATATTGCCTTAGATAACAAGTCTCTTCTCAGCAGTTCCGAAATATCTTGAAGTTTAAAATTCATTCTCTTGTTTATTCATGACCTTTTTTTATTTCTTTTTAGGCAGAACGTGTTCATGAGTTAAATGAAGAAATTGGTAAATTGTTAGCCAAGGTGGAACAACTAGGAGCTGAAGGGAATGTGGAAGAATCCCAGAAAGTAATGGATGAAGTAGAGAAAGCACGGGCAAAGAAAAGAGAAGCAGAGGTAAATTCTTAATAGTAGTAGACGAATTCTGCTTAATTTGGTAAGACTTTAAAAAAAAAGTAGTAGATGAAACTTTAATATCTATACTTCTCTAAGAACATGTATTTGAATGGAAATTATTGAACAGTTATTAAAGAGAAGTTGAACTAAAAGACAAAAACAAAACACAGAAAAAGCTGGTTGGGGTGGTGTGTGCCTTTGGTCCCAGCTATTCCACAGGCTGAGGCAGTCGCTTGAGTTCAGTTCAAGTCCAGCCTTTTTTTTTTTTTTGAGATGGAGTTTCGCTCTTGTTGCTCAGCCTGGAGTGCAATGGCACATCTCGGCTCATTGCAACCCCCGCCTCCCAGGTTCAAGCGATTCTTCTGCCTCAGCCTCCCAAGTAGCTGGGATTACAGGCCCACACTACCACACCTGGCTAATTTTTGTATTTTTAGTAGAGACAGGGTTTCTCCATGTTGGTCAGGCTGGTCTTGAACTCCCAACCTCAGGTAATCCACCTGCCTTGGCCTCCCAAAGTGCTAGGATTACAGGAGTGAACCACCGTGCTAGGCCATTTTTTTTTTCCTAAAGACAGTCTCACTCTCTAAGGCTGGAGCGCAGTGGTGCGATCTCAGTTCACTGAAACCTCTGCTTCCCAGGTTCAAGCGATTCTCTTGCCTCGGCCTGCCATGTAGCTGGGACTGCAGGCGTGCACCACCATGCCTGGCTAATCTTCTGGATTTTTAGTAGAGACAGGCTTTCACCATGTTGGCCAGGTTGGTCTTGCTTTCCTGACCTCAGGTGATCTGTCCACCTCAGCCTCCCAAAGTGCTGGGATTACAGGTGTGAGCCACCGCACCTGGCCGGTTTTTGTTGTTGTTTTTAGAATTACTTTTGGTAAATTTGTGTTTCACAAAATCTTTCTAAGTTGTATTTATTGATATAAAGTTGTTCATAATGTTCTCTTTTAATATCTGTAGAATGTTTGCAATTCGTGTCTTCTCTTTTCTTGATTGATCTAGCTGGTCAGTTTTATTTTGTTTTTCAAAGAACCAGTCTTCTGATCTTACTGTTTTCTTGTTTTCTATATCATTGATTTCTGTTCATGTTTATTATTTCTTTCCTTATACTCCAGTGGAGAGAGGCCCTAAGGTTAGAGGATGGGGATAAAGGGAACCTATAATTTTCATAACAAAATAGCCATGCTTTTGTGTAATTTTTTGTTTTTTTGAGCTGGAGTCTCGTGCTGTCACCTAGGCTAGAGTGCAGTGGCATGATCTCGGCTTACTGCAACCTCCACTCCCCAGGTTCAAGCGATTCTCCTGCCTCAGCCTGCCGAGTAGCTGGGATTACAGGCACACACCACCATGCCTGGCTAATTTTTTGTATCTTTAGTAGAGATGAGGTTTCACCATGTTGGCTAGGCTCATCTTGAACTCCCGACCTCGTGATCCACCCTCCTTGGCCTCCCAAAGTGTTGGGATTACAGGCGTGAGCCACCATGCCCGGCTGCTTTTGTGTATTCTTTAGAAAACATTTTGGTAGAAGCATAGTATATTGTATTTAATTGGATGACTTTTAGTAAGATTTATATGGTCATTGTTTTTCTCACTTTTGTTTAGGAAGTTTATCGGAATTCTATGCCAGCTTCCAGTTTTCAACAGCAGAAACTTCGAGTCTGTGAAGTCTGCTCTGCCTATTTAGGACTTCATGATAATGACAGACGACTGGCTGATCATTTTGGGGGTAAACTACACCTGGGATTTATTGAAATAAGAGAGAAGCTTGAAGAATTAAAGGTACATTGGTAAAATATTCCTCACTTTATCCTCTTGTTCTTTTGATCTGTATCAGTTGTCTTTTTGTACAATATTCTTGACTATGGTTCAGTAATATAGTAATCTAATGATGAATACTAAACAGTGTAGGATTACAGATGGAAATTCAAGTTGGTTTAGTGGATGCTGCCTGAGAAACAGACTTAAATATTATTCTGTTATTTTGGGAGTTACCATTTTATATTAGATGTGACACTGAGTTAGGAATCTTTCAAACTAGTTTCTAATAGAGTCCTATAAAATTTCATTGTTATCGTTCTTTTCAATAAGGTCAATAAGAATGTAATATTAATACAATATTTATAAGAAGTTTGAGAAAATGAGCCCAATATTAATTTGAAATATTTTGCAATTCTTTACTAAATAACAAGCTTGCAGAATCTCTAGTTTTATTTTACGCTCCTGCTTCCACTTCAGAAAGGACTTATGAAAAAATTTATATATTTTTTTAAAGGGACAATCACTATTCAATATATAGGCTTTTGTGAGGAAAACAACACAGTTTTTACTCTTGTTTAGAGGGGATAAACATGGTGGTATTTTTATCATATTTGGTGGTATTTCTGAAGTGATAAAGATGAGTGTTGGTGGATATAATCTATTTACCTTTTAATATGCTGATAGCTTTTTAAGAATTGTGGCACTGTAGTGTTTTTCTATGAATTGAGGACTAGCTGACAGATGGGAAACATGGGATAGTCATTTTCTTTGTAACTGTTATCACTGGAATTAACTCAAGGTCCATAGCATTTAAAATAATGTAGAATCAGAAAATGCCTATGTACATCTCCAGATTCGCAGGTAACAGTGGGCTCTTTTCAGTATTCTGAGTAGCTAGGGTGATCTCAAGTAATTTTAAAAAAATTTTTGAAAAGAGTCACTATAGCAAATAGTTATTGGGCTCCAAGTTAAAACTCCAGTGGTTCCTACTTGGGAGTCTGCACATACAGACCTAGCAACAGAACTCAAGCATTTTACTCATATCTTTAAAAGCAGCAGCAGCAGGATGGTAATTGGAAGTGACCTAAATATTTCCATATTAGAAATCACAGGGCATGGGAACTTGTAATGATTTATAATGGTTGGTGTTTTTTTAAAAAAATACAAGACAATACTAGAAAACAGAGGAGGAAAATCTTGTAGAAGTGACTTGGAAATGTCACTAAGAAATCATGGGCCGGGCGCGGTGGCTCACGCCTGTAATCCCAGCACTTTGGGAGGCCGAGGCGGGTGGATCACGAGGTTGGGAGATTGAGACCATCCTGGCTAACACGGTGAAACCCCGTCTCTACTAAAAATACAAAAAATTAGCCGGGCGAGGTGGCGGGCGCCTGTAGTCCCAGCTACTCGGAGGCTGAGGCAGGAGAATGGCGTGAACCCGGGAGGCGGAGCTTGCAGTGAGCCGAGATCGCGCCACTGCACTCCAGCCTGGGCGACAAAGCGAGACTCTGTCTCAAAAAAAAAAAAAGAAAAGAAAAGAAATCATGAAAGGCCAGGCGTGGTGGCTTACGCCTGTAATCCTAGCACTTTGGGAGGCCAGGGCAGGTGGATCACAAGGTCATTAGTTCGAGACCAGCCTGGCCAATATGGTAAAATCCCGTCTCTACTAAAAATATAAAAATTAGCTGGGTGTGGTGGTGCGTGCCTGTAGTCCCAGCTACTCTGGAGGCTGAGGCAGGAGAATCGCTTGAACCCAGGAGGTGGAGGTTGCAGTGAGCTGGGATTGTGCCCCTGCACTCCAATCTGGGCAACAGAGCGAGACTCTTTCTCAAAAAAAAAAAAAAAAAGAAAGAAAGAAAGAAAGAAAGAAATCATGGAGCTGGGTATGGTGGCTCATGCCTGTAATCCCAGCACTTTGGGATGCCAAGGTGGCCAGATCACTTGAGGCCAGGAGTTGGAGACCAGCCTGGGCCACATGGTGAAACCTCGTCTCCACTAAAAAATATTAATACAAAAATTAGCTGGGTGTGGTGATGCACGCCTGTAATCCCAGCTCCTCAGGTAGCTGCAGCTGGCAGGTAGAGGTTGCAGTGGGCTGAGATGGCACTACTGCACTCCAGTCTGGGCAACAGAGTAAGACTCTGTCTCTAAAAAAATAATAATAGTAAGATCGTAGGCTGGTCTCAGTGGCTCGCACCTGTTAATTCCAGCACTTTGGGAGGCTGAGGTCGGAGGATCACTTGAGCCCAGGAGTTGTAGACCAATCTGGGCAACATAGCCAGATTCTGTCTCTATTTTAAAATAATTTGTTTTCATTAAAAAAAAAAAAATAGAAATCATGGAGAAAGGTGAAATTTTACACATTTTCCACAAAGTGGGGAAAGATGATGGAAAGAAGACTTGTAAGCCTAATGATTATTTCTGGCAGTAATTCAAATTGAATTGTTATTAAACAGATTTTGACAGCAGTTGTACTATATTAGAAACCAGATAATGTAAAGTTTAGGATAAAGCTGATTAAGAATGGACTCAGTAAATATGCTCCTCATTTATTACCATTTTTAAGAGAGTCGTAGCTGAGAAGCAGGAGAAAAGAAACCAGGAACGGCTGAAACGAAGAGAAGAAAGAGAAAGAGAAGAAAGGGAGAAGCTGAGGAGGTATGGAGTAATGGGCCAAGTAATTGAAGTTGAATCTCTGGTTTGAAAAAGAGATACAATTGATTTTAAATTTTAGATGGTGATAAATCTGTTATGGGATGTGGGAAACTTCTGCTTACTTTAAAAAATATTACTGTGCGAATTATATAAATGTTTAATTATACAAGTATCATAACTCTTGGCCATTTAACGGAATGTGGTTTCCTTTAAAATGTGTGGAAGAGTGAATAAAGAATGCTTCATATCTTGTAAGATTTATAACAAAATCCTTTTCTAGCCCTTTGATTTTTCATATTGGACTAGATTTGCACCAGGTTAGCATAGAATTATTTTTTTATGATGTATTTTGTGAATAAAAGGTTTAAGGGTGGTTGTTTCATTGAAGGGTTTATTTTACATTGATCTTTGGTTCGTTATTTCCTCAATTCTAGGAGCCATAACCTGTTAAAAAGTCTATTAGTAATACCTCAATGTATATAATTCCTCTTACATTGGTATTCATTAATTGATAAAATCTTATAATTCTTAGTATTTGGAATGTCTAAACATTCTTCTGAGTCACTTTTACCCATTGGCAGCTAAAATCACATAGCATCATGGTGGCAACATTTTTTTGTAACTCATCTTTATAACTTTTTCAGCAGCTTTAGGATGGACAGTTATATCACAAAGGATTTGCCTGTAGTCCTAATTTATAGTGTTCCCTGAATCATATTACATTTATTTTTTTATTTATTTTATTTTTTTCTTTTTTTTGAGACGGAGTCTCGCTCTGTCGCCCAGGCTGGAGTGCAGTGGCCAGATCTCAGCTCACTGCAAGCTCCACCTCTCGGATTTACGCCATTCTCCTGCCTCAGCCTCCCGAGTAGCCCGGACTACAGGCACCTGCCACCGCGCCCGGCTAGTTTTTTGTATTTTTTAGTAGAGACGGGGTTTCACCATGTTAGCCAGGATGGTCTCGATCTCCTGACCTCGTGATCTGCCCGTCTCGGCCTCCCAAAGTGCAGGCATTACAGGCTTGAGCCACCGTGCCTGGCCCATATTACATTTAAATGTCTGAAAGTTAAATACTTTCTCTTCAGAGTTAGCAGATGTGCTTAAGCTAATTAAAACCCTTTGTAGTATTAGGTTATGCTCACTTCCTTCAATCTTTGAGCATATTATACTCAGTATATTTCAAGAAGTTTAAACAGAATTTATGTTACATGGCTTATAATTAGGTAATCTTTTTGCACCATAATGACAATGAAACAAAACTATATGTCTATATGGTCCCTTTTCAGGGGAAGTGATGTCAGTCCTCTATTAAGAGAGAGAGAGTTCTTCATTTACCATAAAGTTTACCTCAGAGCTTTTATCTACTTGTTCTTTTGTGTACACTAGTCCTTATGGGAATGTTGCCCACTAATTCTAATATTTAAGTGGAATTTTCAGTAATATTGGGAATCTCATTTTAAGATTCAATTGAGGTGACAGTAACGTGGAACAAAATTTATTTGCAGGACTACATTTTCACAGTTGTAGATGATTAAAAAGTATATCACATCTTACTCTTTTGTTTGCCAAATGGCAAGTTTCTTTTGACAGTGATTATACAATGCAAATTTCAGAAATGTTAAAATAAGTTGTTGAATCTGTGAGCTTAAATACGGAAGTACGGAAGATGAGGAAATTAGAAACTAGTATAAAATTATACAAGATGGGATAAACGAAAAAATCAGTCATTTACTGGGTGCTTATTGTATGCCAGGCACTGTAGTAAGGAATTTATCCATATTCATCTAATCTTTATAAACCCCACCCCCACTTCACCCCGGTAAAATTTATATTAGTATCCCTCTTTTGCTAGTGACAGACTAAGCTGAGAGAGGATATATAACTTACTCAGGTCACACAGACAGTGAATTGTAGAACCAGAAATAAAACTCAAATCTGGCTGATCTCAAAGCCATGCTTTCAACAATGCTATGTATCATCCAAAAAAATAATCCCTGTGGTGTTCTACTAACCATAATATTCACTTTACATTTTATTGAGTGTTAACTGTGTGCTAGGAAATGTGACAAGTGCCTTATGTAGAGTATCTCATTTCATTTGAAGAAACATGTTGTAAAATTGAACTAGGTGTTCTAGAGATTATATTATGAGGTTGTAGCTCCAAGAGTATATAGATCTCAGACCATAGAATTTCACTCTTCCCAGAAGAGAAAAAAGAAATGACAGATATAAAATAATTTTTCCAAGCAGTTAAGTGGTTTCTGAAAAATTAGCAAGTTGTGATATATAGGTTGAGCATCCCAAATCCAAAAAATCAAATCCAGTGAGCCTCAAAATCTGAAACTTTTTGAGTGCTGACAGCATTTAAAGGAGGTGCTTATTAGAGCATTTCAGGTTTTGGTTTCTGGATTTAGGGATGCTGAACTAGTGAATTATAATGCAGACACTTCAAATTTTGAAAAAAAATCGGCCGCCTGTAATCCCAGCACTTTGGAAGGCCAAGGTGGTAGGATCATTTGCATCCAGGAGTTCCAAGACCACCCTGGGCAACAAAAAATGTAAAAATTTTTAAAATACAGAAAAAATCCGAAATACTTCTGATCCTTAGCGTTTCAGAGTACTCAACCTGTACTGTTTTAATCTCCTAGGAGCATATTCTTTAAGAGCCAGGTATTCTGAGTTAAGCAAACCCAGCAAGGTGAAGAAATCTGCCGAGTTTGTGGTGTATTTTGGAAAATTTTATGTGCATAGGTACATGCCTTGTATTTATAAAATTAAACATTAGAAATCAGGAAGAATATAATGTAACATTGGACTGTTTTCTTATTTATAGCCACTGTTCTAAAAATACATACTCTTTTTCTAGGTCCCGATCACACAGCAAGAATCCGAAAAGGTAGGTGTATTACATAAGACAGGTATAAGTAGTGAAGTTGTCTTTTTCAAAGGTAGTTTTTGTAGATTAAATGGTCCTTTAAAAAAATTTTTTTTTGGCCGGAGCACGGTGATGTACGCTTGTAATCCCAGCTACTCAGGAGGCTGAGGCAGGAGAATTGCTTGAAGCCGGGTGGCAGAGGTTGCAGTGAGCCAAGATTGCATCACTGCAATCCAGCCTGGGCAACAGAGCGAGACTCTTAAAAAAAAAAAAAAAAAAAAAAAATTTAAGTCGTTTAGATGCTCAGAGTAGAGATGTAAAATGATTAATTTTTTAAAAATCGATTTGGGTGGTACATTTAGGAAACATGTTCTAAGAGGTTGTAGCTGTTGAAAACATAAGTAGGTTAATAGTTGGAGAAAATTTTGATTGATAGGTTAAGCAAAACCAAAATGTTTAGTATACCCTGCAGTCTTGACTTTATGTGAGTTTATTACCCATTCCTTTATACAGTGATCACAGAAAGTTTTCAGAGGCATTTGCAGCCTTAAAGAGCAAGACAATACTTTATTTTGACTTTCAGCATTAATATTTGGGGTTTGAAACCTTTCTTTATCGTTTTTGCTAGTTGGTGATACATTTTTTTTGTCTGAGAAAGGCAGGGAAATGTGTTGTACTTTCATCATTCTTTCTCAATTCTTCACTTGCCACTCTCATTCCAGTCGTTGAGCTTTTCTTCATGGATCCAATCCCACCTAGAATGCCCTTGCTCAGTCTTTTCCAAATTCTACCATTCCTCTTATTCAGATCACATCTTCTTTTAGAAATCTTCTGAGTTCTCAGCTCTAGAGACAATTTCCCAAGAACTTTTCCCTAAAAAGTAGAGAATTTGTTTTTATGAAGGAAAAACCTGGCTGAGCGCAGTATCTCATGCTTATAGTCCCAGCACTTTGGGAGGCTGATCACCTGAAGTGAAGAGTTTGAGACCAGCCTGGCCAACATGGCGAAACTCCATCTCTACTAAAAATGCAGAAATTAGCCGGATGTGGTGGCAGGTTCCTGTAATCCCAGCTACTTGAGAGGCTGAGGCAGGAGAATCATTTGAACCCAGGAGGTGGAGGTTACAGTAAGCCGAGATTGTGCCACTGCATTCCAGCCTGGGTGACAGTGAGACTGTCTCAAAAAAAGAAAAGAAAAAAAAACTTGGCCGGGCGCGGTGGCTCAAGCCTGTAATCCCAGCACTTTGGGAGGCCGAGACGGGCGGATCACAAGGTCAGGAGATTAAGACCATCCTGGCTAACACGGTGACACCCCGCCTCTACTAAAAAAATACAAAAAACTAGCTGGGCGTGGTGGCGGCCGCCTGTAGTCCCAGCTACTCGGGAGGCTGAGGCAGGAGAATGGCGTGAACCTGGGAGGCGGAGCTTGCAATGAGCTGAGATCTGGTCACTGCACCCCAGCCTGGGCGACAGAGCGAGACTCCGTCTCAAAAAAAAAAAAAGAAAAAAAACTTATGGTTCTGTTAGCTAAATCTTTCAATGGTGTTTCTGCCTAAAACACAGAAAAACTAAAGAACATTAATAAGTGGGACCTGTTGTGTCCATTAATTTCTATTATTGGTGATTTTCTTTGATCTAGCATGATAAGTAGAAACATTAAACTGTGATACTGTTCTTGTTTACTGTTTGATTAATATAAGCTGGTCCCTTTGTTGAAAACATAAAGTATTGCACATAGAACATCTTTAGGTATTTGGGCCAGATATTTAATTTCTACTCCTCTAGTCCAGTTACCTAGATAGTACGTTTGCCTTGTAACTGGGCTCCTTACTTCTCTGTGCTTGCCCACTCCCCTTCTTCACCTCATTCTGTTTTTCACACATCAGCCAGGATAAGCCCTTTAAAAAAATGAAATACATCACGTCAGCCCTCTGACTCTCCAAAGGTTTTTCATCTCATTCATAAGAGAAGTTAACATCTTTACCAAAGCTTTTACATAGAGTGATGGTGTGGTCTGGGGTGTCTAATCTTTTGGCTTCCCTGGGCCACATATCAGATACACTAATGATTAACTGATGAGCTGGAAAAAAAAAATGGCAAAGAAATCTCATAATATTTTAAGAAAGTTTACAAATTTGTGTTGGGCTGTATTCAAAGCCATCCTGGGCAGCATGCGGCTTGGAGGCTGCAGGTTGGACAAGCTTGGCATAGCCCAAACTGCCCTGGGCTAGTTCTGGTTTATGTCTTTTATCTCAGAATATGTATTAATAGCTTCTCGTTACACTCAGTAACTTATTCAGAGCCTTCTGGTTTGAATGATAAAGTATCTGGTCATCCTGCCTGTAAGACCCTGATGTTACTTCCTTTTGCTCACTTCATTCCAGCCACACTGGTCTTTTCCTTCGACATGCTGAGCTTTTTCCCACCTCAGGGACTTTGCATCTGTGTTCCCTCAGCCTGAAGCACTCCTCTCTGAGATGGCTGATTCACTTGTTGCCTTTCTTCTTTCAGCTTTGCTTCAGTGCCACCCTATCAGAAAAGCCTTCCGTGCTTATTCGGTATAAATATTTCCACTCTTTTCTCTGTCTTACTCCACCCTACGTAATACCTCTTTTAATTCTTTTTGAGATGGAGTCTTGCTCTGTCACCCCGGCTGAAGTGCAGTGGCACGATGCCAGCTCACTGCAACCTCCACCTCCCAGGTTCAAGTGATTTTCCTGCCTTAGGCTCCCTAGTAGCTAGGATTACAGGCACGCACCACCATGCCCTGCTAATTTTTTTTTTTTTTTTTTTTTGATTTTTAGTAGAGAGGGGGTTTCACCATGTTGACCAGGCTGGTCTTGAACTCCTGACCTCAAGTGATCCACCTGCCTCAGCCTTCCAAAGTGCTGGGATTACAGGCATGAGTCACCGTGTCCAGCAATAGATCTTTTTTTTTTTTTAACCACCTGACATACCTTTATTTACTGCCTACAAACCTGTATAGATCCCTTTCTATAGTATAAGCACTAAGTTTAGTTCAAGAACTTTATTTTGCTTCTCAACCTCCCATAGTACCTAGAACAGTGCAAAAATACCTAGTGAATATTTTTTGGATGAAAAAATTACCTAGAATTTTTTAAAAGATGAATAAAGTTACACATTGGAAGAAAAAGCATTCATTAACAACTCAAAATGAGTGGTTAAACGAAATATAATTTGATAAAACTTATATTGAGTTTTATATCTTTTCCCTCTGCTTCCTTTTGGAATTATTTCAGCTGTGGAAATACGTTTTGTTTTTGTTTTAATTTTGTTTTGTTTTTGAGACAGGGTCTCACTCTGTCCTGAGTAGCTGGGACCACAGGGGTGTGCCACCATGTCCAGCTAATTTTTAAAAATTTATTGTAGATATGGAGTCTCCCTATGTTGTCCAGGCTGGTCTTGAACTCTTTCCATTTAAGGATTAAGCAATCCTCCCATTGTGGCCTCCCAGAGTGCTGGGATTACAGACACAAGCTACTGTACCCAGCCAGAAATACTACTTTTAAGAGTGGCTAAAACTACATCCATGTCATGTACCTTTGTTTGACTATAATGTTGGTATAAGCTGAATGTCTTTAAGAATTGTTTATAACAATCAGTTGAACATAAACTGTATTTGTAAACTATGTCGTATGTATAATACGATTTTGAACTTGCTGTATCAAATTATGAGCAAACCTCACATTCTTAAAGTGACTTAAATTTAACTGTTTTATTGAGGTATTAAAAATGATTTACTCTGAAGTCAGTGATTTTTTAGCAAATTTAAAGCTGTGCACTATCACCATAATCCAGTTGAGAACATTTCCATCATAAAGTGACTCTTCTAACAAAATTGCATGCCTTTGTTTCCTGTCAAATGTTTATGTCCTCTGCATGCCATTTCCACCCTCCCCACGCACCCCCACCGACCCCACAAGTTAGTTTGTGACCTGGTGGAGGCTATAAAAGTGTCTTACCTTGTGGGTTTCTTTTCAAAAAATGTTTTTATTTTGCCAGCACCTTGATCGTAGATCTTCTGGGTTTTCAGAATGTTTTTTGTTTCTCTATTTCTGTGTATTCATTAGAAATACATTTTGTTATTGCAATCTGAGTCAAGTTTTCAAAAATGATTTTCGCAAGTTTTCTTTCTCCCAAACTCTTTGCTCCTTGAATAGAGAACTGTCTTACTGTGTTTTTCTTGCTCTCTATTGCCCAGGCTGGAATGCAGTGGTGTGAACACAGCTCACTGTAGCCTTGACTTCCCAGGCTTGGGTGATCATCCTGCCTTGGCCTCCCAAAGTGCTGGGATTAAAGGCGTGAGCTACCACCCCTGGCCCTTACTCTGTTTTGATTACACTGTGACTAGGCATGCATATTGTGGGCATTAAAAACGTATTTCTATGGTTATCTCACCCTTCTAATTGAGAGAGAGAGTAATTTATCCTGACGTATGCTTCCTCATCTCTTCTCTTCCCTTCTATCCAGGTCTGTCAGGTACATATTTAATTTCTAGAGAATACAAAAAATGTTCTAGATATTTAAGTGCAATTAAATTCATAACACATCTAGATAATATAGTCCCTGGCATATAGTAGTGGTTCGAAAGTTGCTTTCACTTGAAAAACTATTTCTGATATAAATTTATACATTCCTGATCTCTGAGAATTATCAGTGTCCTGTTTTTGTTTTTGAGACAGAATTTCACTCTGTTGCCCAGGCTGGACTGCAGCTGTGTGATCACAGGTCATTACAGCAGCTTTGACCTCCCTGGCTCAAGTGATCCTCCCACCTCAGCTTCCTGAGTAGCTGGAACTACAGGCACATGCCTCTGTGCCCAGCTAATTTTTGTATGTCTTATAGAGACAGAGTTTTGCCATGTTGTCTAGGCTGCTCTTAAAATCCTGAGCTCAAGCGATCCTCCTGCCTCAGACTCCCAAAGGGTTGGGATTACAGATGTGAGCCACGGCGCCTGGCTGAGAATTATTAAGTTTTATTTTGAATTCTAGTATGTAGTTATTAACACACCAGCAATTTGGTGTAGATTTAACTGACTTGGAATATAATTGACATTAAGACTACTGAAAAAAAGTTTCTCTTTAAAGAAAAGCCTTTAATAAATGAGAAATGTAGTAATTACAAAGATAAAAACAGAATCTAATCTCGTCTGGTAGATCCAGGTCCAGAGAGCATCGCAGACATCGATCTCGCTCCATGTCACGTGAACGCAAGAGGAGAACTCGATCCAAATCTCGGGAGAAACGCCATCGCCACAGGTCCCGCTCCAGCAGCCGTAGCCGCAGCCGTAGCCACCAGAGAAGTCGGCACAGTTCTAGAGATAGGAGCAGAGAACGATCCAAGAGGAGGTATTGATGTGTCAATCAGAGGATATGGAGCTCCCTTAATGTTTTAGAGTTGTTTATGTTTACTTATGTTACTTATGTTTAGAGTTCAGATTATTGGTTTGAGACTTTTGCATCTGGTAATATGTACACATTTGTGTGTGGGTGTACAACATTTTTCTGTGATTATATGGGTAGTTATGAGCCAGAGCAAGAAATTGGAACCAATACGTGCAGAGGTTATTGCTTTTCTCTGGTTAGTGTGTCTTGGAAAAAAGTTCTTTACAGGTAAATAATATCAAATACCAATGCCCTTAGTATGGATCAGCAAATTAGGGGCTCTGAGAAGTCCTTTCATTAAAAGAGTTGTTTAGCTTTGATTTATTGTTTTCTAAACTTATTTGAGCTGGGATGCTTTTTCAGAGCAGACACATTCTAGTATATTCTTGTTTTATCTGCACTATAGATATGTATTGTTACATACCTTTAGCTTGGCAAGGCAGACTCGTAATCTTAAGGAAGTTCCAAGACTTCCTTGGTTTAATGAGAACATTCAAAAGGTGCAGGCATAGGGTAAGGTATGTTTGAGGACTTGAATATCTATTAAGAATAGACAAAGGATTATAATGTGGTAGAAGAGTTTAGCATTCAGTCTGTATAGATCAAGCTCTCAAAACTTCTCAGGTCACATGATGGCCCTTAAACCAGGTAATTTCTGTGTAATGTAAGCCATGTTTAAAATTGCTTTTTTCTTGACAACTATTCAAAAGTATATGTATGATAAACATTTTTTGAGTGCCTAGTACCTACTAGTCTTACATATTCTGTGGATTACTCCACATAAAATCTATAATAAAATCCACAGAAAGCTGTTAAAATCTTTCCTTTTTTTGACTCAACTTTCCATTCCCTGAAATCACACACAAGCTGAGTTTGTTAATAGGCTCTCAATATTTTATTTCTTATATTCTGGCCTTGTTTTTAGTAGTCCTTAAGATGATTTTAATAATAATTGTATATGTTTTACCGTAGTAGACTTAGTAAAACATAAGAAAGACATATAACATAGTTGAACAACTTTAAGTTGCTCTAAGAAGTTTCCTATGTGAGGCCGGGCACGGTGGCACACGTTTATAATCCCAGCACTTTGGGAGACCGAGATGGGTGTATCACTTGAGATCAGGAGCTCAAGACCAGCCTGGACAACCAACCCCGTCTTTACTAAAATACAGACATTAGCTGGGCATGGTGGTGCATGCCTGTAATCCCAGCTACTCAGGAGGCTGAGGAATGAGAATCGCTTGAACCTGAAGGTGGAGGTTGCAGTGCGCCAGGATTGCACCATTGCACTCCAGCCTGGGTGACAGAGCGAGACTCCGTCTCTCAAAAAAAAAAAAAAAAAAAAAGTTCCTATGTGAGTTAGAACACAGGATCTACATCTTTGACAATAATTAGACTGGCATAAGACTACCACATGTTACAAAGTGCTGAACTGCATATCATAGAGTAAATGATCCGAGAGTTCAGATGAGGCAAATAACAAAGTAATCAAAAATGGCTTCAGGTAGTCAATAAAATTTGAACAAGTAGAATCAGCTAGGAAAAAGATACTTCATATAGAGTGAATATCCTAGGCAAATGCAGAGAATGAGCAGGGAGTTTGTAAAGGACAGAGTAGATAATGTTGATATAAGAGTAGGCCTCTTATCTCATGCTCTTGAAACTGATTTTGGGGGTCCACCCTCAGTGCAGTGTTCAGAAATAAGCATTTTTTAAAAAGTTACCTGTCTTACCTGCACAATGAATTTTCAGAATTATCCTGCTAGGTGATGGAAGGTTTAGACATTTTCTTGTGTCAATCTGCCCAGTTGTCATTGTTGTTGCTGAACTCTTAAATGTCTTTATTGGTGGTGGGTATGGGAAGGATGGGTGTGAAGTCCCCTCATCTGAGATTGTGTTATTTTAGTCCCTGATGCTTCCTGCGTTTATGAAGTTGTATAGGAATTTTTCCACCATACATGATACATGATCATATCTAAGATGTCAGCATGTTCATAAGGAGGATTATTTTTGTAAAACTATTAAAAGTTTTGCTTTTCTCGAGCACTTTCTCATCTTTGAATTGAAATTATTCTCTTCTAAAGCATCATTCTTTGTTTTTACTAAAAATTATCAGATAATTATTAAAACTTACTTGGTATTTCATACAACATCAAGTTATCGCTACATATTTGGGTTTAATTTTTCAAGGTAAAAGTTCTTATTGAAAACCTTTTATGTTTTGCTGTTCTCCTTTCCCTACTGTAGAATACTGGTCTCTGATATAAGTAGATTGTCTTTGTGACCTCTTCCTGGCAATAGTACCCTGTGTAAATGAGGACCATTTGCATCTTTCTTTTTGCTCTGTTCAAACATGTTTAGTGCAGACTCCAAAGTCAGATTACTTGGGTTCGTTGGTTTAGGCTAAGTAATTTGTTTTTTTGAGACGAGAGTCTCTCTCTGTCACCCAGGCTGGAGGGCAGTGGTACGATCTTGGCTCGTTGCAACCTCTGCCTCCTGGGTTCATGCGATTCTCCTGCCTCGGCCTCCCAAGTAGCTGGGATTACAGGCCCAGGCCACCACACCTGGCTAATTTTTGTATTTTTAGTAGAGACAGGGTTTTACCATGTTGGCCAGGCTGGTCTCGAACTCCCGACCTCAGGTGATCCACCCGCCTTGGCCTCCCAAAGTGCTGGGATTACAGGCGTGAGCCACCACGTCCTGCTTTGGCTAAGTAATTTAATTATCTCACCTGTCTTTCCCCATCTACTAAGTGGAGATAGTAAGAATACCTGCTTTAAGATTATTGGTAGTTTGAATAAAATAGTATATGGAAACTGCTTATGTGTGGGACACAGTAGTTGATAATCATAGTTTTTCAGTTATTATTACTGATCTCTGGGACTGTTTAGCATCTAGTGTCTTTTTAGGTATCATTTTTACCGTCTCTTTTCATATTTTATTCCAACAAAGGCTATGGATAGGACTAATGTAGATGTGGAATCACTAGACTTGGCACTGTGATTTGTTTTTGTTTTTTTTTTTGGAGATGGAGTGTCGCCCTGTCACCCAGGCTGGAGTGCCGTGATGCGATCTGTGCTCACTCACTGCAGCCTCCGCCTCCCAGGTTCAAGTGAATCTCCTGCCTCAGCCTCCCGAGTAACTGGGACTACAGGTGCGCACCACCACACCCAGCTAATTTTTTGTATTTTATGTAGAGGCGGGGTTTCACTATGTTGGCTAGGCTGGTGTCGAACTCCTACCTCAAGTGATCAGCCCGTCTTGACCTCCCAAAGTGCTGGGATTACAGGTGTGAGCCACCGTGCCCAGTCTTTTTATATCATTTTAAAATTAAGTTTATTAAAACATTAAGTAGAATATTCAAAGTTCACATTATTTTAGAACCTTTTTTTGTTTAACCCTCAACTATATTTCTAAAACTGAACAGTCATATTTTTTATTTTCCTGAAAGTATTAATTATTCAGGTTCTTGGTAGTGCCTCAGATCCTAATTTTGAATATGGGTTGAGTGAGATAATTATGTAAAAGTACTGTCACCTGTAAAGAACCAAATAAATGTAATTTGTTGGATTTTAGGTGTTGGAAGTATAGAAGATTCCATGTTTATTCTGATTCCATAGTATGTTTGGTTTTCCTTCTGATTGTTATTATTTACACCTTTCTTATTGCAGTTGGGTATGGGAATGGAGAAGGTAGTAAACAGTTACGGCTAATCAAGATTTATTAGTGTGAGCATCTTTGTCTTCTTTTATTTCCCCTTGTTGGTTGAATAAGCTAACTCAGTATGAGTTGATTTTTAAAAGTGGTTATTTAAATTCATATTAATAATTGAGTAGTTCTCTTATCTAAGTCAGGTGTTGGCAAACTGTTGCCGATAGGCCAAATCTGGCCGGCAGCCTGTACAACCAGCAAGCTATGGATGGTTTTTACATTCTAAAAAGAAAAGAACACTGCCACAAAGATTGCATGGACCTGCAGCACCCCAGATAGTCACCATCTGGCCCCTATTCTAAGCCATTTTAAAATCTAGACAATACCTTTCACTTTTTAAAGCTATTATCTATGTATTAGTTTTTATATTGAAATACCTTTTATGAATTGGAGAAACTCTGTTGTCTCTGAGATAATGAGAGTAGCCTGTAAGAAATTATTTTAGCCTTCTGACCCTCAGCTATTTGTTTTCACCCGTCTTGTTTTAATGCCCTTATCAGCTATGGTAGTGCTCAGTATTTGGTCAGAAAACTGACTCCTCTGTCATGGGTGTATTCTTCTATATATCTTCAGCTATCAAGAGCTTAATATTTATCCTATTCTTTAATTTGGGTTTTTGGGTTACCCAACATATTTTGCTCCTCAAATTAATATTTTTCAGATCCTCAAAAGAAAGATTCAGAGACCAAGACTTAGCATCATGTGACAGAGACAGGAGTTCAAGAGACAGATCACCTCGTGACAGAGATCGGAAAGATAAGAAGCGGTCCTATGAGAGTGCTAATGGCAGATCAGAAGACAGGAGGAGCTCTGAAGAGCGCGAAGCAGGGGAGATCTAACTAGCTGTGTACATTTCTTCAATCCTTAAGCTTCCTATGGAGTTACGTACTATTGTTTAGTTCACAGCTGTTCAGGGCGACAGTGAGCAGATCCAGACACCAGATCCAGCTAGGCTAGATGTACAGTATCTAACTTTATCTGAACTGAACCTGTTTTCCTTGATGATGCCTAAAACTACATCCATAGTTTCTGGTGAACCTGTAATACAGTTCTGAAAGTACAGTTTTATATAATAAGATGCCGATCTCTTTATTCTTTCAAGTAAGAGTGATAGTGAACAAATTGTGTTACTTGCCTTGGGATTTTTTGAACGTTTGTAAAATGCTGTCTTCCTAGTCCAAACAGCTGCAGCTTTGGGCATTTTTCTTTTTAATTCTTCTTCCTCTGACTTTGTATCCCTTAATACCTACACTCTCCAATTGTAAGAGAAAGGGGGCAGGGAAGCAATATAGCTTCCATTCTAAGGCTGTATTCCTGTTATGAATTACTAGCTGATTACAGTTCAGAGCATTGATCCTGGAATGTGTGCCGGAGAAATTTAAAATACTGGGGTTTGTTTAATGGTGCCTATTTAGAGTTGGAAGTTGAACAGCTGTTGCATTACATACTTTTGCTTTTTTATTGAAATTTTGAAATCAAACTTGTCTTGATTTTTCTGTTCTGTTGAATTGCTATGTTCAGGATGTTCTTGGGGGGTGGGGGCAGGGACTCTTTTCGTAATAAGCACTTGTTTTATTTTGTGTGTGTGGAGTATAAAGGCTACACCCTTATTGTAAAAAATAATAATAAAATGAAAGAAACAATCACCACCACCATTATTAAACTGTAACTTGTCTAGTAAATTGTCACTAGAACTATTTGCTGTGGGCATTTCCTCTATTCTGTTACATCATTAACAGTGCCTTACTGTGCAAGGCACCAAAGGACATAAATATGTACTTGCAAAGATTCCAGATGAGCTGTTCACGTGGGCCCCTTGCTGACTATATTCCAGCCACTTCAGGGTTGTTTGTAATGACCATTAGAGAGAAGGACTGGACCTGCAGAAGAAACCGGGGTGTTTTTATTCTCATTCAGCAAACCCAAATAAAAACAGTATATGTAACCAACATAATGAGACTAAGTTTCTGCATTGAAGAGGTGTATATCTACTAGTAACAAACTGTACTTGGCAGGTATCACTTGTGATTCTAGAAATTCTGAGGAAGAAAAATTCCTTAAGTAATGAAATTAGTATCTGTGGGTAAGGTCACCTTTCAAGAACTGTTAATGTCCTTCGTCCCCAAGTTTGACAGATTTGATGTCACAGGCATGTGGGCCTGTGTGAAGGTGGTGAGAGAATGGGAAACTAAGGCCATTCTAAGTGATATCAGATTAGATTAAAAAAAAAAAAAACCCTCAGCAAGTTCCCAGTTTACCAAGCTATGCCTCATTAACTGAGGGTTTTCTGCTGGATTTGGTTCCACACATGCAATTTATATGACATTTAATCTGAGAGACCCATCTGCCTCAGTGGCCCGTTTCCCTTCTTTTATTTTTGGTTGCTGAGAAATGTTTTGTATCTGCTTTATTCCTGGTAGTCTGTGCTGTTCTAAATCCTTACAAGCACTTCGGATTTCATACATTGGGGTTTGGAGTAAAATCAAAAGGACTAACTGGTTGGTGTGAGGAAGAATGTCTGGGACCTGGCCCATTATAATAGTGTATCTGGACTTAGATTTTGAACTCTAAAGCGTATATACAGTTGGAATGGAACACCTGTAGAAGTAACACAGGTCTGTGTATCAGTGGTTACTGCAGTTGTGGTTTCTAGGTGGTACAGGCTGCCCCAGCACGACCAGGGCATGAGGTGCACCATCACTGCGGGGCTGATGCCACACCGGACCACTTCAGCTACATGGCGCTTTACATGATTGATGCCACTGAATTCGAAGAAAATCTCAAATCTTAATATCACTATCTCATACACAGTTTTTGGTCTTTCTGTGTTGGTAACTGGTGGAAAGCAGAACTAAGTATGTCGTATTTGCAAAAAACTTTTGTTCCTCTGGGGAATGTTTTGCTAGGTTTTTACCTTCAGTAAGGTTTCCTTCATTTTGCTGTCATCAAGTATTACCCTAAAGCTCCTTTGCTGAGCTTATCAACACCAACTAAAACTAAGGAAAAAGGCCTCCTTTAATAGGTACGTTTTTAAATTTATTTTATTTTATTTTTTTTTGAGATGGAGTTTCACTCTTGTTGCCCAGGCTGGAGTGCAATGGTGCAATCTCAGCTCACTGCAACCTCTGCCTCCTGGCTTCAAGCAGTTCTCCTGCCTCAGCCTCCCAAGTAGCTAGGATTACAGACGTGCACCACCACGCCTGGCTAATTTTTGTATTTTTAGTAGAGACAGGGTTTCACCATGTTGCCCAGGCTGGTCTCAAACTCCTGGCCTCAGGTGATCTGCCTACCTCGGCCTCCCAAAGTGCTGGGAGTATAAGGCATGAGCAACCCTCCCCACCCTACCCCTGCCAGGCTTGTTTTTTAAACAAAGACTTTACCTGTGATTATTAGACCTAAAACCAATATACCTTTATCTTTTCCAAGTTCCCTCTTTCCCCTCCATGTTACATTTTAAGAATCTATTTTTAGTGATAACTTTCAACATTGGCCTTTTGAGCCATCACCAAGTATGCATTACAATTTCCACAAACCCTTTTGCCATTTGATGTAGTAAATTCTTTCAAAATGGTTTTTAGGTAATGGTTATGTATATCATTTAAGTTTTTTCAAATAAATGCTGGTTATAATTGTTAAATGTTTATAGTTTTTGTTTTGTTTTGTTTTTTTAAGTATAAGGTCTTGCTGTGTCACCAAGCTAGAGCACAGTGGCATGATCTTAACTCACTGCAACCTCAATATCCTGGGCACAAATGATCTTCCCACTTCACCCTCCCAGTGTGCTGGGATTATAGGCACGTACCACTATGCCCAGCTAATCAGAAAAGTATTTGTACAGGCCGGGTATGGTGATTCATGTCTGTAATATCAGCATTTTGGGAGGCCGAGGCAGGCGGATCACTTGAGGTCAGGAATTCAAGACCAGCCTGGCCAACATGGTGAAAACCCATCTCTACTTTAAAAAAAGAAAAAAAAAGTAGCCGGGTGTGGTAGCACACACCTGTAGTCTCAGCTATTTGGGAGGCTTAGGGCACGAGAATCATTTGAACCCAAGAGGCTGAGGCAGAGGCTGCAGTGAGCCAAGATACTCCAGCCTGGGCAACAGAGTGAGACTTCGTCTCAAAAAAAAACCAAACAAAATTAGCTGGGCATGGTGGCACATACCTGTAATCCCAGCTACTCCAGAGACTGAGGCAGGAGAATCACTTGAACCCTGGAGGCAGAGGTTGCAGTGAGCCGAGATGGCGCCACTGCACTCCAGCCTGGATGACAAGAGTAAACTCCCATCTAAAAAAAAAAAAATTGTAGAGATGGAGTCTTGCTTCATTGCCCAGGCTGGTCTCCCTGGGCTCAAGCAATTCTCCCACCTCAGCCTCCCAAAGTCGTGAGATTACAGGCATTAGCCACCACATCCAGCCCATTTATTGATTTTTTAGCTTTAAAATTCTAAGCAAATATTACATATCTAAAAAAAAACCACACATACCTAGTGTGGGTGTTCAGCTGTTACGGCTATCCCAGTTGTGAAACCATTGAAACGTCCTTTCAACTGGTAAATTACCTGCTGCCCTGGGCTAGTTGAGTGCCTGCCCCCAACGCAAGACCAGCAAGCACAGCCAGGAACCTCCAGCATTAGTTCACTACCACATGCTATACTGACTTAAATATTTTCAAACACATTCTTGTCTGTTTTGTATCTGAAAAAGCAGAAGCTATTTGATGTAATACTGATTTTCTTTCAAAAATGGCTTTTAGGTAATGGTTATCTACCTTTTAAGTTTTTTTCAAGTAAATGCTGCAGGGTTTGTTTTGTTTTTCTTTTTTCTTTTTTAAGACAGGGTCTCACTCTGTTGCCCAGGCTGGTGTGCAGTGGCGCAAGCTCGGCTCACTACAGTCTCATCAACATGCTGGGCTCAGGCGATCTTCTCACCTCAGGCCCCTGAGTAGCTGGGACGACAGGCGTGTACCACCATTCCCGGCTAGTTGTAGTCTAAGAGACAGGGTTTCATCGTGTTGGCAAAGCTCATCTCCAACTCCTGAGCCCCAGTGATCTGCCTGCCTCGGCCTACATCATGATTTTATATCTTGACTGTTGATAAAATTTCCTGGGGTATAAATAAGGCAATACAAAGTTGCCCTTTCTCAGTACTTTTCTCTGTACTGCCTGTTACTTGAAAAAGCATTTTCTCCCTCAGGGGAGTTAGGAAAGGTTAGAGAACTGAGAGAACAAGGGTTTCCCTAGGCAGAGGCTAAGTAGGGGAGAGCAGGCAGGGTTCTGTCAGCAGAGTAGTACTGGGGCCATGCGTGAGTGGGGCCTTGGAGGCTCTAGGGTCAGCAGGCAGCACACCTGCATGTTCTCCAGGTAGCAGCAGAAACATTAGGGGTGTTAGAGGTTTGGGGTCTGTAGGCATATCTGGGGATCAGAACAAGCTAATGGCCAGCATTGGAGGGTTTAGGCTGAAGCAAGGCATTGAGACTCACAGAATTGGGCTGTCAGTCAAGCAAGGATCCAAGAGATGGGGCCAGCCAAGCAGAAGTCAAAGGCTGGTGCCAGCATCAAAATCTGCTCTGACGATCCTTTGGGAGACTGATTCTTCAAGTCTCAAATGCTGTTCACACCTGTCTCTGGATGCTGTTGGCCACCTGTAAATGAAAATACGCTCAAATGGGCTTAAACTCTGAAGCGACCTTAGCAGCTCATGTGATTGAGTTGCATGCCAGCTCCATATCTTGGACTAGCACCTGAGCCCTATATCCATATGAAGAGAAACCATTCCATCTTGTGTCTCTTAAAAGTAGGGCAACTTTTCCCAGGACCTCTTGCAGCCGCCTTCTCACATCTGTCCCTGGCATAGAGACCTACGTAGATGATGCTCAAATGTGGAATGAATTAATGAAGTGCCTCATTGTGCCCAACATACGTTAACCCACACGATCTCATTTGATTTGTACAGCAATCCTGTGGTTACTCGAAGGGACCATATTCTATCACCATCATGCCTGTTTTCCAGAGTAGGAAGCTGAGCCACGCTGAGTGACTAATAGGACACAGTCAGCCGACAGCTTTTTGATTCTAAGTCCAAGGCTCTTCCTGGCATAAAGTTTTGTGATAGGTAGGTCTCAGCTGGGAGCGGCAAGAAGGGAGCAACAGAAATGTCCATCACAAAAAGGACTGAAATGAATGAAGCAGGATGATAACTGCAAGTACTGTCCCATTTCCAGCACCTTTTATTCTAGTCTCATAGTATCTCAAGCTGATTGTAACAGATAAACCCGTAGTTATCCAAATAACATGGTATATAGGAGTTACCATTTTTTGTTTTTTGTTTTAGACAGGGTCTTACCATGTTGCCCAGGCTGGGGTGCAATGGTGTACATGGCTTACTACAGTTTTGACCTCCTGGGCGCAAGTAATCCTCCTGCCTCAGCCTCCTGAATAGCCCCAGCCCCACCCACCACCCTCCCACTCAGCTAATTTTTTTTTTAATTTTTAAATTTTTTTTGCAGAGATGGGATCACGCCATGTTTCCCAGGCTGGTCTCAAACCCCTGAGCTCAAGTGATCCTCCCACCTTGGCCTCCCAAAGTGCTGGGGTATAGGCCTGCCTGGCCAGTTACATTCTTTGATTTCCTGAAATTTTTGTTCAGAAAGTTTGATACAAATTGCTTGAAATCAATACAAAAATCTACTGGGTAATGAAATACAAAGGAGACTGAAGAGATGATAATCAGTAAAAGGGCTTGAACTCTGATTGGATGTTTGTTTAAAAGGCTGGAATAACTGGAGAAATTAGGATATGGATTGAATATGAATTTATTGCTAATTTTATTAGGTATAATGGTGGAATTGCAATTACACAGAAAAATACTCTTAGGAGATAAGTGCTAAAGTATTTAAGGATGAAGCATCTGGATATCTATGGCTTTCAAATGGTTCAACAATTTGCTAAACACATATGAAGAGCAAGTATAACAAATTGTTCACTGTTAGATCTAAGTAGATCATTGGTTTTTCAACTTTTGTGTATTTTTGAAAATTTTCACAAAGTTGAGGGGAGGAACTCTTAGATTTTCCATTTAAATAATCACTTTAGGCCAGGCGTGGTGGCTCACGCCTGTAATCCCAGGCTGAGGTGGGTGGATCACCTGAGCTCAGGAGTTCAAGACCAGCCGGGCCAACATGGTGAAACCCCATTGCTACTAAAAATACAAAAATTAGCCAGGTGTGGTGGTGCGCACCTGTAGTTGCAGCTACTCAGGAGGCTGAGG